TAGCATGACAACCAAAAAACACAAAGCCCATTGGAACATATTTGTTTTGGTCATTGCTTTCAAAGAATAATCAATTGAATGCATCTAAGTAATTAAAGGAGAAAATCAAGTAAACTTTTTACTTGGAATGGAAAGAAAACTAAAAAGCATAAATAAGTAAACAACTTACCTTGAAGTATTTAGAGAGAAAAGTTGGTGACAAAAAGAGCACTTGCCGGACTCATAGGAGAAAAAAAGAAAAGGCTGAGTGGATGCAACAATGACTCGATAAGACTAAGATTTAAGTCTGAAATAATGTTAAAGACTAAAGAGAAAATGTGGAGTTGAAGCTTAAAAGTCAAAGGCTGTATGAACTATGGAGGTTGAAGAATATGAGAAGAGTTTGAAGTTTGAAGAGTTAGAGTCTTCGAGAGTATTAGGGCAAGTAAGAATAGGAAAGGTCGGAAGGTGAGTTATGAGTGGAGTGGGATTATTTTTACTTCTAAAAGATGATGAGTCAAGAGAATCAATTAGTTAATTAAGGAATATTAGTCAATTATTAGAGGTTTAGGTAGGATTAGGAATTGGAAATTAGAAAACAAAATAAATAACTAATAAATTAAAAAATTTATATTTTTAAACGGGTAAACGGGTCAAATCCGTTAACCCGATGGGTCAACTCGTTATTGACCCGTGACCCGTTGGGTTCTCTTAAGGGGTCATTAACGGGTCACGGGTCATAAATATATGACCCTAACCCGTTTTAAACCGATGGGTAATGGGTGGGTTAATGAGTTGGGTAAAAAATTACCAGGTCTACATGTGAGAACTAAGATATTCACAAGGAATTACTATCATAATTTGATTTTTCATTCAATTCATTTAGATTTTTTATGAAAAATAAAATCACAAACTTAATCAAAAATCATTAAAACTTATAAAATATCAAAACAAACACAAAAATATAAAAATACGAATTTTTCGCTATTCTTTAGTTAATATGTCTTTATTTTTTTTTTAGGTGCTACCTGCAAAAAGAAAATTTCAAGAAGAGATTGAAAAAGAAATTCAATAAAGGGGACTCAATTGAAAGAATTTAAAATTCGAGATCAAATTACAAAAATCATACAAAGGCCTTGAAGCTCAACCCTTTAACACCTCAAACCCATCTCAAATCGCCCAACTCCATCAAAAAATTAGCCCAAAAACAGTAAACCCAAGCTCGGCCCAAACCCAGCAAGAAAAATACCCTAGTTTCCTTTCTCTTCGAAGGGGAGAAAAGCGGACCCAAAAGAGGGATGAACGATCACCATTCTCAGATCATCGTCACTGGCTCTACACTTTCCTGACCTCATAACCACTAGGTCACCATTTTTGTATCCAACACTGCATAGAAACCAAAAAAAAGAAAAAGATTTCATTCTTTTTTTTTTTTT